TTGTTGGGGGCAATATGCTGACTCTGTAAACCGCTTAGAGAGGGCTGAAAGCCCTATGAAGCGGTATATAAGTCTAACAATTGCTATTGCTATTGAAATTTTGGGCCTGCTTTACAAGGGGAGGAAACTAGAGATGGGATTCGTCCAGTTCTCTCCGGTTCTGGCGAACCAGCAGCGGCAGCTGCAGGAAGCTCTGCCCCCCCCACCCGCCACCGTAACGTGCTAGCATTGCACATGCACAGAAGGCCATGAGCATACACAGACAAGACGCATGCACTCATATTTACGAAATGATAGGGAATGTAAGTAAATCCCACTTCGGGAGGAAACTAATATTGCCCCAATACATTTATGAATAATCAAATGAGGGAGATAATATATGTAAATCTGTTTTTGTCTTTTGACGCACATTTCTTCTTTCTAGCCTTGTTTTATTTATTTTTTTAAATCTTTTTCTTTTTGGAGCTTGTAATTTATATTAATTTTCTGAATATTTCTTTTTTTAGAAAAGCCAATTTCCCACCCATTACTTCTTGTCCTACCGTTTGGTGTCCAAACCTGCAATGTGTTGACTAAAAAGGATCAGGCCAGTATTCAGAGTCTATTTCTCACCAACATTCTCACCGGGAGATCAGAAATGACATTCAAGCCTCATCCAAATTCATCAACTTTCGCCTCATGTGAAATTTCTTGTATGCAATAAAGAGTTGTTTAGGACTAAAGAATTGTCCACAGAGTGGACGTTTGAAAGGTCTCCCCCATGTGATTCCTCTGGTGTTTCACCAGGTTTGAATTGAAATGGAAATATTTCCCAAATCAGGACATCCAAAATGTTTCTCTCCTGTGCATATCCTCTGGTGTATCACCATATTGGAATTCTGACTGAAATATTTGCCAAAAACAGGACACTAATACGATTTCTCTCCTGTGTGTATCCTCTGGTGAGTTGTGAGCTGTAATTTTCTAATGAAACTTTCCCCACAATCAGGACATTCAAAGTGTTTCCCTCCTGTGTGAGTCCTCTTGTGTATTTGCAGGCTGGAATTGTATCTGAAACGTTTTTCACAATCAGGACATTCAAAGGGTTTCTCTCCTGTGTGAGTCCTCTGGTGTATCACGAGGTAGTAATTTGTACTGAAACTTTTTCCGCAAACAGGACATTCAAAGGGTTTCTCTCCTGTGTGAGTCCTCTGGTGTATTACCAAGCTATAATTGTGACTGAAACATTTTTCACAATCAGGACACTCGAAGGGTTTCTCTCCTGTGTGAATTCTCTGGTGTATCACCAGGCGGGAATTCTGATGGAAAGTTTTCCCACAAAGAGCACATTCAAAGGGTTTCTCTACTATGTGAGTCTTCTGGTGACTCATAAGCTGGGCTTTTCCAATGAAACATTTCCCACAATCAGGACATTGAAAGGGCTTGTCTCCTGTGTGAGCCTTCTGGTGCATCACCAACTTGGAATTCTCACTGAAACATTTCCCACAATCAGGACATTCAAATGGTTTCTCTCCTGTATGAGTCCTCTGGTGAATCACTAGGCGGGAATTGTGAGTAAAACGTTTTCCACAGAAATGGCATTCAAAGGGTTTGTCTGTGTGTTTCCTCTGATGAATTATGAGCTGCAATTTTTTAATGAAACTTTCCCCACAATACGTACAATGATATGATTTCTCTCCTGTATGAGTCCTCCGGTGTTTCAGCAGATTGGAATTGTGACTGAAACTTTTCCAACAAACAGCACATTCAAACGGTTTCTCTCCTGTGTGAGTTCTCTGGTGTATCACCAGCTTGGAATTCTCACTGAAACATTTCCCACAATCAGGACATTCAAATGGCTTCTCTCCTGTATGAGTCCTCTGGTGAATCACCAGTTGAGAATTCAGTCTAAAACTTTTCCCACAAAGAGCACATTCAAATGGCTTCTCTCCTGTGTGAATCCTCTGGTGGTTAATAAGATGGGTTTTTCTAATGAAACATTTCCCACAATCAGGACATTGAAAGGGTTTCTGTCCTGTGTGAGTCCTCTGGTGCATTACCAGGCTGGAATTGTGACTGAAACGTTTATCACAATCAGGACATTCAAAGGGTTTCAGTCCTGTGTGAGCTCTCTGGTGTATCACCAAGTGGGCATTCTGACGGAAAGTTTTCGCACAAAGAGCACATTCAAAGGGTTTCTCTCCTGTGTGAATCCTCTGGTGATTAATAAGATGGGGTTTTCTAATGAAACATTTCCCACAATCAGGACATTCAAAGAGTTTCTCTCCTGTGTGAGTCCTCTGGTGTATCATCAGCTGGGATTTCTGACTGAAACATTTCCCACAATCAGGACATTCAAATGGTTTCTCTCCTGTGTGAGTCCTCTGGTGTATAACCAGGCGGGAATTATGACTAAAGCTTTTCCCACAGAAAGGGCATTCAAACAGTTTGTCCATTGTAACTTCGGAAGGTCACTAAATGAATTGTTGTAAGTTGAGGACTACCTGTAATCTGTACTGGTGTTCCCCATACTCCACTCTTTTCAGTTTGAAATCTCTTCTTGATTACCTGCTGGAGAAGAAGAATTGTGTGGTTTTCTGGAGGAAATGGAAATATTTTGATTTCTGGGTTGATTTCTTTCCTTTTTAATGTTGCTTGTTATTTTTAGTTGTCCGAAGTGCTCTTATTGGCATCCTCTTTGTCTGCAAGATTCATAGAGAAAAGTAACTTTTATTGCTTATAAAATGGTTGCAGAAGATGCGAAAAAAGAAAAAGCATGTACATTAAAGGTAAAAAGCAAATATGCAACAATTGTAAAATAATATTGGATTAATTATTATTAGTAGTATTATTTAATACATTGAAGTTTACGGAAATCCAAGTTCACATTTGCACTTAACCATGAAATTCTCTTGTTGACTTGGGTCAATACAAATTCTTAATACAGCAATTATTGGATAGAATCGCTGTTATTAAGATGAATACAACATATAACAGAATAATAAGAGTTGGAAGAGACCTTGAAGGTTTTCTAGTCTAACCCTCTGCTCAATTGATAGACATATCTTTTCAGACAATTGGCCGTCTAATTTCTTTTTCAAAGCCTCCAGTGATGGAGCACCCAAAATGTCTGAAGGCGAGCTATTCCATTGGTTGATTGTTGTAATCATTAGGAATTTTCTCTTTAGTTCTAGGTTGCTTCTCTCTTTGATTAGTTTCCATCCATTGTTTTTCTTTCTTTCTTTGGAAAATAGTTCGATTTGTCTTTGTAGGAGCCCCTCCAATATTGGAACACTGCTATTATGTCTCAGCTACTCCTTCTCATTACACTATACATACCCAATTCCTCTAACCATTCTTTGTATGTTTTAGCCCTCAGTACCCTAATTACCAAAGATGCACTTTCTGTTTCAGACTTTCCGAATACTTGTAAGTGATACTCCATTTAAACAATGGCAGATGGAGATCTCTGAGTTTATATTACAAGGGATAAAAGCAAGAATTAAATATAAATTATTCCAAGACGCTAAGGAAAGAGGAGGTTGGGTTTGCCAGATTTCAAATTGTACTTTAATACTTGTTGCTTTGTCTGTCAAAAAGAGTGGGTGACTCTCCATACTAAGAAGTTACCTGAGCTAGAGGGCCATGAATTAGATGTTGAAGGCACAATTATTTATGGTATATGGTTAGGGAATTATATAGAGGCAATGAACTTTGGAAATATAAAGAAGAGTTTTTTTATCATTTATGGTGAGCAGGCCACAAAGCAAAGGAATGTTGGAGTAAGATCCACATCTTAATAAAGAAGACCATTAAAGTGAATATAAAGATAAAAGCGTAATGGATAAAGAACTTGAAAGAAAAGGAACATTGATGTTATATCAATGGAAAAATGGAAGGACCCATTTAGTTGAACCTGGTTAATACATGGATGGGGCACCAATAGGAAATATCCTGTTTGTTGGCTAGACGTGGAAGTAAAAAAATAAAAAAGACACAGTGGCAGATCAGTCCAATATTATTGCCAAGAAAACATAACAGGGTCCATAACAGAACAAAAGAGTTGAAATTGGAAATCTTCCAGTCTACAGAAGAGGAGGCCGAGGGGTGAAATGATAGCGGTCTTCCAATATCTGAGGTGCTGCCACAAAGAAGAGGGGCTCAACCTCTTCTCCAGAGCACCTGAAGGCCGAACAAGAAGCAATGGATGGAAACGAATCAGGCAGAGAAGCAACCGAGAAACAAGGAGACGTTTCCTGACTGTGGGAACAATTAACCGGTTTCCCTGCAGAAGTTGTGGATGCTCCATGACTGGAGGCTTTCAGGAAGAGACTGGACAGCCATGT